ATCATTTGTACGGTGTGAAAAATGTATTACGTGTAGCGATAATGAATGTGCGTTTACGATACGATATTTCACCAACGAGGGACAAATACTGTACTTTGTTAAAGAGGACTTTGGACCAATGTAAAAATGAATACAAAAATGACCGTTCAGTGGGTCTGCACAAATGTATACAGTTGCGCCGAGATTTTAGCTTAATTGAATTCCCGTCAAAGAGCGAATACGCTTTACTCCGATGAGCTTCCCGATTTTTTTTTCCATCCCCCCGACCTCTCTCTCTCTCTCTCTCTCTTTTTCGTTGAGCTGTTTTCTCGTCTCTCATTTGGATTTTATTAAATATCCCGCGCTACCTAGACTACCAACTATACCAACAGCCACTCCATCGCTGTACTATACGGTCGATTCGTCGGAGAAGGAGATTCTTTTGCATATACTTGCTCGAAATGATATATTATAATTGGAGTGGCGCGTTATATCCGCCTATTCGCTCGAGCTATGAAAGAGCATTTTGTTTCCTCGCTGCGATCAAAAGCGCGAAAAAAAAAAAAAAATCCAAGTGTATACATTATACAGCTCGTGCCGGCGATAGCGCGATCAATTGCCCGTTATACGCGAGTCCAAGATAACTTTTGTTATTATGAATCTCGTTAAATAATAATTATTATTGCCGTGGCGGGGCGTAATCGCGACGCGTATCGTTATTACGTGATTCATGAACAGCCTCGCGGCCATAGTTCACGCGAGTGCACATCATGTACGCGCGAGTCTCACCCCCCATTAGCTGCACGCACTCGCACGCACGTTGTATATATAATATAGTATATATATATATATATATATATAACGCAGATGAGCCGCAGATTATACGAATACGTATACATTATACGGGCTTCCGCCCCTGAATCAAGGCGCAGGCCTGTGTTGTTTTGCCGGCGTTACCTCATTGTTATCGATATTATCGTATTATCTCCTGCCCCGTGCTGCACCGACGATGCAAATGCGCTAAATGCCCGAAATCGCCGGTGTTGCGTGTGTACCTATTATTCGCTCGAAGAATTATAAATTGCCGATTATACGCCCCCCTTTCGCCGCTCGTCATCGTTAATCGCCCCAGTGATACGTACATGATGCGCGTGCAAAAGTTTTCGCTCATCGTGTATCAATCGCCGCGATCAAATCCCCTTTTTTTGTATCGGACAGAAGTACATTGGGTATTTTCCGCTTTTCACTCAATCAGCCGAGCCGATATCTTTCAACCATTTTTTTTTTTTTTTTTTTTTTTGAAATGGANAGTGCACCGGGTTAAGTGGTGGTTGGTGCTTGTGTTATTCTATTTATTTCGAATAAATCAAGGGACTAGTGACAACCGGGTTGTAAAAGAATTGCTGCTTTTCTCAATTTTATTTTTATTTTTAATAAATAAAGAGACCAATAAGCTCGACGTCCCACCGGCTCTCGGACAAACCAAGATCTGGGTACTTTGCGGACTTATCCCTCTGTTTTGTTTTTTTTTTTTTTTTTTTTCTTCCACCCACAATCGGTCGAAAACAAACAAAAAGTACACAACAAACTCATCTTCGTATCCTTTGAACATACATTGGCTTTGAGCGGAGCTGTTTGCGAGGAGCATCAGTCGGGCAAACACGTGGTACGCGCGGCTCATATTACCCCCTATTTACGATCAAGCCTTTGAGAGGTGAACCCCCGCACTTGCGTGGGCGTGAATTTGATTCATCAAGCTGTGCATGTATTTTATTATCAAGTATACGTTCATAGTCATCTTCTTTCGGTGCGCCAATACCCGGCCGGGCAAAAGCTGATTCGCCAGCTTACTTGGCCGGGGAAAAAGTCAAAAGGCGCACAAGTGGGTATTACAGTCCGAGGAACGGTGGCTGGAGGGACGAAAAAAAAAAAAAAAAAAATCAGCGAGGCGCGCGTCCCTCTGACATGAATATTCAAACCCGGAGGTTGTCGTCCCTGCCATTCGTGCCCCGTTTAATCCTCTTCGGGGCTCGTCGACTCGATGCAAATGAATCGAAATCAGAGAGAGGAACGGGGAAAAAAGTCCGCGCGCAAGAACTTCCGAGTCTCAAGGACCAAATATATATAGGTACACGCGAAAAGAAAAGTACCTGGGCAACAAGTGCGGACTCGACCTATACATACTTATACCTTATCCACATACCTATGTACACTTGATGTTACGCACGCACGGGTGTGTAAGGAGAGAAAAAGTTTGCCAAAGAGACAGGGAGGTCCAACGGGAAATTAGAATATTACGCGGCGAGGGGTGCGCTCTGTTCATCCCACCCCCTTCCCGCCTACCGAGGAGGACGGGGCTTATTTCTCACTCAGCCGGCAAGCAACCATATGCCGCTTAATGTTGTCTGCATTAAACATTCATGAACGGGAGGTACATAAGCGCCGGGGCGTGTTGGGTATACCTCATGTAACTCCTTGCATGTACCTATATACATACGCGCAACGCAGGCAGCGACGCGGGGCTCTCTCTTTGCTTCTTATTTCTCAGCAGCTGGCGTACTTGTACACACCATTGCGTTACGTGACTTGTAATTGGACACTGAACGGCTCGAGAATTTCCTCCACCTCCTCTCGCGCTCGGGTCCACCGAGAGGAGGAAAGTTTCGCACAGTCCGTGTTTAGTGCACTCGCTTTGATCAATTTGGCCAATATAATCGTATAGAGTGACGATCGTGCGTCGTTTCGTTTGCGGAAAAGTGTATATTTATGTACATTTCGGCCGAGGGGATTGATTGGTTAATTTCGCTCGTTCGTTCATTGTTCGATGTAATCCTGTACAAGGCGCGCTCGGCTGCTCAATTGGGCTGCGAAAAGCGTGAAAAAACCAAAAAAAAACAAACAAACAAATAAACTGTGCAGGTGGT